GCCCATTAGACAGGTCGCCTCACCAGGGTGGGACACAGGAGGCCCCGGAGAGCAGTCAGGCTGCTTGGAGGCTCAGATGGAGAGCAACCCGACAGATGCTGAGGTTACAGGCAGAAAAACAGCCCGTTTGGGGCCATGCTTAATTTTTTATTTTTAACAGCATGTACTTCTTTTTCTTCTTGCTAATAAACTGGGTTTAAGGTTGGTGTCCCTTGAGAGCCTGCAGTTCTTAAGCTTTTAGCTCTGGGATACAGATTGCCTTCTGCCACAAGCACCGCAGTAAATCCCACACCTCTAACCCTCAGTCACTAATGGGGCACAAATCCACGGTGCAGAACAACTTGAAACTCTTTATTTAGATTTCCTCTTGCAATGCCTTCTGTTCAGCTAAAATGGAGCCTTCTGAGGAATAAAGAAAAATTCTTTATAAAATAGAGGCAAAAGAAAGATACATACTAAGAAGCAAATTCTCAGAGATAATCTGACCAGGGTGGATAATTTGTGTCAGGGAGAGATTTAGCAGCTTGGTGGAAGTGGAATCAGAGTGATAAAAGAAACAGAGAGGTGGGAAATCTTTTCATTCTAACAGGTGAATAACTGAAATACTCATAACCACCCTATAGATGCATATCATAGTAGGCTGCAGAAAAATACGGCATATTCAGATGTAAATTATAGATTTATATGCTTCACTGATTGTTTCATAAGGTTAAATGGCAGATATTTAGATTTCAGCTGAATTCTACATATGTCTTGGGAAGGAATTTTTTTAGGCAAAAGGCATAAGATCTCACTGCCCTAATAATAGGAAAATGCATAGAAGTGGAATGTAGCTTGGCAGAGTGGCTGGCTTCAGCAGCAGGCAGGGCTTTCCAGCACTTTCACTTCACTTTCTGCAGTACAACGTGCTATGGTGCATTTCAGGGGTCGCCAGCACGTTCAGAACTGAAACCAGACGTAAGCACTGTTATCACCTACTAGAAACTGGAAATAGAAAATTCACCAAAATCTGTACTCTGCAGCTGTTTATGTTTTTCATTGCCCAGTGCTCATTTTATAGTATTGCTTGGCCTTTTCCTCGAACCCATAACTTAGACTTTCCAAAAAAAAGCAAGTTTTTTGCAATTCCGTCAAGAGTTTGTAGAGGAATTCTAGATTCCCTCATCTTTCCAATGGGAATCTGTCCCAGACATTGTTTTACTGAACCATAAAATTAGGACCATCTAGTAATGGTATGTTCAGACACCAGCTGGGAGGAGTGTGCAAGCTCTGCAGTGCATTTCAGCAGGTTCCCACCTGAGAGCCGCACATGTTCCTTGCACGCCACAGAGGGTGCAAACAGAAAGCAAACAAAAATGGGATATCCAGAAAGACCCAGACAAGCAAAAAGGGAATGCTTTTTGCATTGTGGCATAGTGGTTCCATGAACATATCCACTGATTACCCCCTCTTCTGGGCAGGCATCTCCTATTTTCGCACATGAATTTGTGCTCTAGTCTTTCACCTGAAACTACACTCAATGGTTAGCACCATGTTTATATTTACATCTCTGTGCCATAAACCCTAAAGGACTATAACATTACAAGAAATATTTGCCACACCATTGACAGCAGTAACTGAACGAAGAATTGCCAAGTGGGAAATCCAAATTTGCAAACTCAGTATTCTGGGCTGTGCGCCAAGACTGTCTGGGCGCTGCGGAGGTGACACATTCAGTCTCCTCACAGGGATGCCAATGTGCCAACTGCATCCCTGGCACAGCATCTCAACTCTTGACAAACTTATGGAGAAGAACTGCTACCAAGTCCAGAGGGAGATGCAAGCTGCTTTCTGAGCTTCCTTGGCAGCAACTCCATTTTCAAGTTGTGACTGTACTTTCTCCTATTTATGAGAACAGTTGTTTGTGATACACTATGGTCTCTGGTAAGATTTTGAAAAGTGCAAAAATGACAGCAGGACATTGGTTTCCAAGTATAAACTAGTAAAATCCAGAGTAATTTCATTTCCCTAAGAAAAAAATAATATAAATACTCATTTACTGCAGCCCAGATATCAGATGTTGCCGCCAGTGTGGGAGAATCCAAATCCATTTGTTAGCTGCCAAGAGAAAGACATGATCCTTAGAATATGAAGGTTGTAGCACTGATCTCTAAAGCTTCCCCTTTTCAAATCGTACTTCATACCTATTGTCTCACAGCTAAGCCTTTTTCCTGTCTGTCAGTAATTTTTCAAAGCAAAAGAAAAAAACTGAAAAATCCTCCGATCTTCCACAGGGCTGCATGACCTATAACTTGCAAAATCCATTAGAAGACAGCCTTTTAGTAACCAAATTGTGTCATTTACAACTGCACAGCAGCCAGAAAGAGCACCATAAATTACAATTCTGTCACTATAAGGGACAATGGAAAGGTGTGGGCAGGCTATCGCTTAAAGGTAGAAACCTAAGAGAGTGGTAGAATTTAATTTGAATATTTTTTCCTGAATTTACTTCATATAATAGCAAAATTGGTACTTACAGGTTAATTATTTTTTTGGCTGTATACAAAAGACTTAGTAAGACTATAGAAGACGGTCTGTTTTTAAGGTGTGGCACAATAAAAATACTGAATTCAAAGTTTTGGGGATTTTTTTTTCTTCTTTCTACATGAAGTAAAAAAGCCTGTAAAAATTTGCTTAGCATTTTTAGTTAAAAATTCTCGTATCATTTAATAATTCAGAAATAGGGTTCTTGATATTAATTTGAAAATTTATCTACTGTTGTGGCTCGAAAGATGGATGGAGCCTGGGAAACTGGTGAAATAATGTCATCATTGGGAGAAGAGCGAAGACTATCACTCGGATGCTGTGGTTTTATGGGGTTACTCTTTCTCTTTAAGAAGCAGTTAATTATTTGGAGAAAGGTTGTCTTGTTAAAAATTCTCAACAGTTGTTTTTTCCCTAAAGTCTAAAAACTAGCAGACTGCATCCCTGAGTACTTCCAATAGGTTTTGCAGGGAACCTAGATCCAGTATTCTTAAGGCTATTTCTAAAGGAAAAAAACAACCAAACAAACAATAAAACCCAAAGAAAAGCAATTCTGAGGTCTTTTTACAAGTGTCCTAACTTTCAAGTCCTGTTATATCATAAAGAAATTATAGAAAGAACAGAAGTCTAATCTGAAAAAATGCAGGCTACTTAAAGTATCTGTAAAATTATCTCAGAAAAAAACATTTCCGCTTTGTATTTCCACCAATCTGAAATGGGACAGTGAACCTAACTAGCTGAGCAATTGCTACTAGAAAAAACAAATACATAAGAGGAAATGCAGTTAACACAATATTTCACATATGTTAATGCTTACAGTTCCATCAGTGTCAGATTTATTTTCTACTTGATATACACCAAAGCTGGCACACAATTTTAACTGATGAGGTAATGTCATTTTTAATTTAAGGAGCCTTAAGCCGTCCACTTTAACTAGTGATATCATCTTTGCAGTTGTCTCACGGGGCTTCATGTAAACATAAGTAATGTGCCCTGGACGGTTTGGAGCAGAGTTGTTAAAAATGACATTGGTCATCATGAAGACATTTTTTTCCTTTGATCTCTTTAAAAACGTCAGGCACACTTTATTGTCCTGTCATTTTTACCTCTTCCTTGTATATTAATATGCTTGGAACATTTCAGTGAACATAACAGTAGAATAAAGGTCTAAACAAATTAATGGCAACATTTTAATGTCAGTCGTAGAAGGATAATGAAAAGTAAATGAGATTGTCTGGCTAACAGCAACTTGTTAAATAAAACAGCAGCACGGCTGAGACACAAAGACACAGGGGCGGAGAAAAGCCTTTCGCCCGAGTCCGAAAGAGGCCCAGGGCACAGCCCAGGCTCCAAATGCCACCACCTTTTAGGAGAAGATTAAACTGATTCTACAGAGTGTGGCTGCTCCTCCTTCTTGTCCGGGGTCGAGTGGAATCATCTGCTAATAAAACTTAAAAACAGACCTGTCTCCACACCTGCAGCTTCTGCCTCCCTGTGACTTTTATTCTCCTTTGTGTTCTCTTGGCAGGCTCTGTACACCCAGCTACTGGGCTCTCCTCAGCCTCTGAAACCAAATGCGTCAGACCAAGCCCCACGTGTAGGCATCTCTGGTGACAGGGCTGAGGAACCCTAACGTGACTGTCGCTCCCAGGCAGACTTTTGCTACCAATCATTATTGCATTATTATATGTTTTTCCTCATAAAGTCCTTAGGAAGGAAGCAAGTAACCAGGGGAGGATTTGGCCCAGCCTGTTCAGTAATCACATGCTGTACAAGTACGAACATTATAACGTGCACAACTTGATTCAAATACCTAAGCAAAGACAATTTGTAATGAAACTTGTTTTGTCTGAGAAAAAACAAGTGCTGTGACTGATGTGTAGATTCTGTGATTTGCTCCAAACTATTTGTCCAGCTAACAAGGAAAATAAGAGATTTTTCTGCCACTGATCTGAAACATGGTGGAGTTTTGAACAAAATCTAATGTTTAGGGATTTATTTATTATTCTGTGGACATATGTTTGGAGGACAGCATATGGAAATCAAAGTATTGTTCATAAAGAGCTCCAGCCAAAAAGACATTTTTGAATTCATAACAGAACTTCACAGTTTGAAAAGAATGCTATGCATTATGTATTGATAACAACACTACACAGACAAAGGAACACAATTTAATAATACAGAATTGTGCTCATGAGATTTCCTTTTTTTTTTGTTAATTGGTTACTTTAGCTGACATTGTCTGCAAGCATAATGGACACCATTCTTCCTAATAGTTCCATGTTGCCAGATGATGTCTACAGACATAATGTAGTCCATTTTAATTATTTCATTTTGCTTACATCTTTCAGCATAATGCATTTTCCAAGCAAGCTAGCATTTTTCTTGATTATCTATGTTGTGTTATGGTTTCTAAATTAATTAGGTCTCCTTCTTTCCCGGAAGTTAAAAGTTTCTTCCTTCCATTTATCTTCCAGGTATGATTATGTTGAAGTGATTGATGGAGATAATGCTGAAGGACGCTTATGGGGAAAGTACTGTGGAAAAATTGCTCCCCCTCCTTTAGTGTCTTCGGGGCCATATCTTTTTATTAAATTTGTTTCCGACTATGAGACACATGGAGCAGGATTTTCTATCCGTTATGAAGTTTTCAAAAGAGGTGAGAAACAATTCATTGTTATATAGCTTGTAACTTGTGATTTTTGCTTGCATCTAAAAGTACACCGTAATTCTTTGGAATGGGGGGAATGCATGAAAATACTTGGAAGAGAAAATTGTATTACCCTTGTCATTCCAAGGCAGGGCATGTATTCAATGGGTGTAAATCACTATGAATCCAGTGGGTCAGCTGCATCTGAGGATTGACTCCTCTGGGTGTAATGTGATAGTCTTCATCAGCTGGTTTTTTGGACCATCTTAAAACCATTAGCTTTCTTCCCCCCCCCCCAACCCCCCCTTTTTTTTTTTTTTTTGTGGTAATAATTACTGTATGATTTACAATGTTATTGCCTTAACAGCACTGTAACCTTCTGAGTCCCTGACTTATTTTGGTTAGTGTTTTGCTCTGCATTCCCAAGAGATGGCTATGGGCTCAGAAAGGACCAGAGTACACATGGGCAGCAGATGATGTTGCTGTTGCTTTCTTTCACAAGTCATGTTTGGGAGGTAAAGGAGAGAAGAAGCTCGCTCTGTTCACTGGCATGACCTGCTGGATTCTTGTGCCAGGAGTTCAGTGCTGGTGAGCACAGATAGCTGTATGGGGCACAGAGAAATCCCAGAGAAACAGACAGTCCAGGATTAACTAGATCTATAGACAGTCCCTCTTTGATAACTCTCTTTCTGAGTCAGTAGCTAGAAAGGCAGTAAGATCTTTTTTTTTGGCATACACCTTCCCTATAGCAGGTTGGAGATAAATAATTCATATATTCCATGCCTGGAGAATACAGGACCAAAACTCATAATATATAAAAAGACAATAAGCTTAACTTTATAGAAAAAAAACCCAACTTCAACATCAATGTTTAGGGCTATATTCACAAAAGCAGCTCAAAACTCCAAATTTCCAATGCACACCACTCCCAGACAGTGCCCCATTTTCAGAAGCAGTTCAAGTCCTTTTAACACACCTAAACCAGAGCCAGATTTTCAACTGCATTCAGCACACTTGCTTGGTGGCAGCTGGACTGTTAATGAGGAGAAGCACAGTAGTGAAGTCTCTTTTCTATTGCATGCTATTGCTGCTCTGCACAGTGCTAACTGGGGCCACAGACTTCTTGTTCACCATCTTCCCTGTCTGTAAATCCACTCTTGGCTCACAGAAATTCTTTTGCTGACCTTCAGGGTCACATTTTTTGAAAGAACTTAGCATCCAAATGACACCAAGCTTTCCTGAAAAAATATGTCTATTTATTTTCATGTCTTTAGGTGGCTAAACTCTTGAAACTGTGTCCTGACGTTTCTCAGTGCTTATGTATTCAGTACCATCTTTCGTAAAGAACAAGGATGAAACACAAGAAGAAGTGAAAGAATGACCTGTGAAACAATCTATATTAGCAACTGAGTGTTTTCAAGAAAAAAGCTTTTATTTATTTCCTAATAGTGTAGTGGCAACTCAGAGCTCTGACAGGAACATTGTGTATATTTCCTTGTGTGGTCATTTACATCTCTCAGTGATATACATTAACCATGTTAAGATGGCATTATGAATGTGATTTTACACACACAGAAGTCAAGAAACTCAAAATTATGGCTCCCAGAGCAACTTTAAGTCTAGTTCATTCCACATAAACTGTATATTAAGGCAGGAAAGTTATCACCAGGTACAGTGTTAGAAAATGCTGTGTGTACACAAAGGATGCAAGTTACAGTTGCCGTGGGAACACAGCCCTTTTTAACTTCTGAGTTAATGCATAGATGCTATTCCAAATTTACATTTTAATATTTGTACCTAATAAAGCTGACCAGTTCACCCTGTTACACAGGTGAAGCTCAGTTGCTTACACTAGACTAATATGCTTTGTTTTAGCATATTCACAACTCAGCTCATCATTTCCCAGGTGTGAGAAGTATTAAAATTATCCCAAGCCCAACGCCCTGTGGTGCTGAGTTGAAGGCTGAGCTGCATTCCAGCACACAGTATATTTTTTCCCATTGTTCCTGTGAGACCATCCTTACTTTTTTAAAAGAAAAACTGCATTATGCTACCTGTGTCCTAAGCTGAATTCTAAACCTGATGCTTAAAATGCTGCACACCATGGAAATTGTAAGGAGAGACCAGCACACATAATGACTCTGATAAATGAAGTATGGGCTTTGAGAGTAGGAGCTGCCTTTACTTCTCATTCAGCTCCTTAGTCAGAAAGACACTGAAGAAGTTGAATTCCAGACTAAAACATGAAATGCATATTGCCCAACATTTAGCCCATCTGAAATGTTCATCATTTTGGCTTCGACAGCCAGCCTATCTTAGGATGGATGAGTAGCCTATTCACTGGAAGAGGATCTACATGGTTCACATTCAACATTCCTAACTTTAGTCAACTAAATGGTGTAAAGTGAAAGAAAAGACAGTGTCAACCAAGAAGGCAAATGATTTTCTGGCTCAGTGACACCTACAGAGAGCAAATGAAATTATATATATATTCCCAATGTCAACTCTTTCTCTTCCTTTGCTCTCTCTATTGCCTCCTCTGTCTCTCTTTCCTTCAGCTCATATCTCTTCACATGTAGATATGAGATGCATACATGAGTTTCTCCACTTCAGAAGTATCTATTCTGTCAGGTCTCTGCTAGAACCTTTTCTGCCAGTTTTCCATGAAGATCACCCCATGGACCTCCTCATAACCTCAGTATTGATTTAATTCCTGGAGCTTCTTCACAGTGTCAATAAAGGGTCAGAATCTGTGGAGGGTATTTTAGTGAGGCAGCTTTTCTGAAAACAGTTTTTGTTTCTTGCACCAGATTGACTTGAACGTGTTTAAAATAAAGCAAGCTGGTATTGAGATACCATGTGTGAGTGTAAGGAGCCTGACGATCGTGCACTCACAGAGCCAGGATCTGGCTGTATTTAATAAAGCAGTAATGATCCTGGCTTACATTTTATATTGCATCTTTTATTGGATTCCAAGAGGAGCACAGAGCACTTTATGCTATGAATGGCATAGCAAAGCTATTTTATCCTGGAACAGCAGCTACTGGTGGGAGTGAGGAGCAACAACCAGAATATAACCCTCCCATACATGACAAGGAGACAAGGGAATGACAGGGAGAGAAGAAAAATATCCGACTAATGTGTAAGGGGGCGATTTAATTATAGGCAAAATGTAATTTCCCAAATTGGAATGGGTCAGGTTACGTGAGCATTAATATCTACATCTTCCAAAATATGCCATGAAGTGTTCTGAATATTGATATGATAGCTCAAGCATTTCCTATCAGTGTCTGTTGAAGGACAAAAATACCTGAACTGATTAAATTCAGTCAGACCTCTCTCTTGCATGCTGAATTTAGCTGGGATGTGGCCAGACCTGTGGGGGGTAATAATGTTTGGCACATTAACAAGGAAAACATTTTCTATGGTGAAATAAGAGTATTCATATATACAACAAGCCAGACTGTTTTCCTTCAATGATCTGTGTTAAGCATTGGAAATCCTCTAAGGCTCCTGACTACAGTCTCTAAGGATGCTGGGTATCCTCATCCAAATTGAAACCTCGTACACACTCATCCTCCAACACAGACCTGCCTGTTGCAACCAAAGTGTGTTGCCTGTGTCTTTACTCCATGTCCAAAGACCTTCATCTGAGTCATCCTACTCAAACTCCCCAGGTCAGCTGCTACCTACCAATGGCCCAAATCCTGTAAAATACTTTCCATTAAATTCAGAATGTCAAAAGTCAGAGAGGGTTACCTATGCTGACCTTGTGGGAGGATGTGTGGGCAGTGCCTGCGGCTGACTTCTGAGCACACCTGCAGATGTGGGATCCACAGAGAGGATTCCTGAGGGACCTAAATAAAGGAGAAATGCGATCTGTCAACAAAAGAGGGACTCCAGTTTTAGTCCCCTGTATTCACAAAGGCAAATCCAGTGATCTGGCCTCTTATATCCTTGCATCGTTACTGCCACTCTCCTGCTCCGCCAAGAGCCCTGTTTGGAGCATCCCATTATGCCATGGTGGGGACATCGGGGAAAGCTGGTGTGTCAACATTGACATTAGGTGACTTCTAGCAACACTGCCTGTAATCACACAGTTTATCATGCCTGCACTAACAGCAACATTTTACTGGTGCACCTGTGTCAACACCACTCAGAATGAGTCACTCACCCTTGGTACATGTACGAATTACCTTTCACATTTAGTTTGTCAAGGAGGCATAGGTCACATCTGGCAGAGTTACTGAGTCAGTGCTCCAGGAATCTGAAACCACTACTCCCTCTACTGAATTCACTCACCCGCTTTTGTAAAAAATTCTATTTCACCAATAAAAGCCTGTCAGCCGTAAGATTTAAAGATTTGAGCTTGAAGGGGCTATAATTATTTCTCTAGGGCTCTGTCGAGATTTCTGCAGCTTAGACTTTCATTGTTCCCACATGACTTTGTATTTGTCATAATTTTTTCTAGAGCTGGTACAAGTTTTCATATTGTTCCATACAAATTGAAAATTGGAGATCAGACAGTATATGCGAATTGCGTTTAAAACCTGACTATCAATAATAGGAACAAGCTGGCTGAATGATTAATGCAGCGATTAAAATGAGGTGTTTCATTGAAAAGCCACCTTTGCTGCTGGAGAGACAATACAACCTAATTTGTTTTCCAGCTAACTACTTTGCTTAGTAGCACAGTGTTAACCCAGGTGATTTTTCTCTTTCTCTTACAGGACCTGAATGTTCCAGAAACTTTACTGCATCAAGTGGAGTGATAAAGTCCCCCGGATTCCCTGAAAAATATCCCAATAGCCTTGAATGCACTTATATTATCTTTGCACCAAAGATGTCAGAGATTATACTGGAATTTGAAAGCTTTGAGCTAGAACCTGATTCAAATACTCCAGGGGGAGCATTCTGTCGCTACGACCGGTTGGAAATCTGGGATGGATTCCCTGATGGTAAGAGAAAAATGGACTGTGAAACGCATAACCATTACTCTGTAGTGGGCTGCAGAAGGCATATTCTCATTTTTTTAAATGTCATAGTACAGAGGTCCTTGCTTGATTTATATGAAATGAGTTGAATTAAAGAGAAATGGGGAAAATGCTCTGTAAATTCACTCAGTAAAGCATATCACAGTGTGAATGATTTTTTTATGAAATATGTTTAATTTTGAACAGTTGGCTTGGGGGAAACCTCTGTTTTTAGAGGGAATATGTGATGGACCTCCTATGCTAAAATAAATTAAATATGAAGCCTCATAATCGGTCCCCAAACTTTCACAGCTAACACATTGTGCAGAAATTTCCAACCACTTGTGCAAACTGGACTTCAGGTACGAACCCTCCAGCTTGTGGAGGAACCGGGTTACAGACCAGCAGTCAAAGCAGAGAATTTCTTTGCCAGAGAAAACGTGGTGTCCATACAATTGAAATCATAGTGACTAAATGATTACCCAGGTCAGTAAACAGTCACTGAGTTATTCATTCCAGGTAGCTTTGGTGATTGAGCTCTGGTGTCTCTTCCAGCAGTATAAGCAAATCCAAATGTTTTATCTTAATTTGTTCATTTATAATCTCTGATTAGCTGGGTACATATGTCAGGGTGGGTGTGTTGGGTACCCTTCTGGAGCTTACTTCTCTGCCATCTCAGTAATTTTCCACTTAGCTGTTGACCACACTTGACCTTGTGCAAATTCGCTAAGTGCATAGCTAGATATTAGCTAAGCCCATAGAGCCAGTGAGCCCTCATTTCACCCTCTGCCCAATCTCATATCCGTGTTTTACACTAAGACTGATGAACAAAATAGCTGCATGATTTCTCTACTTTTTTCATATATGGCAATGGGTCCGCAAGATCCAAGTTCCCTCTGGGGAGGGCAGCCATGTACCAGTTCTCTAAAGACCCCAGCTTGATAGGCTGCAGCTCCAGCCTAAAAGGGACTGTTCAAGCTGAACACCTAACCTTACAGTGCCCAAATGCCTATATGAATTCTGCAAACAGCTATGTAAAACTGATTGTTTGTGATGCCTTTTTCACTGTTTCTATGTATGGCACAAGCTGATGAAGAGAAGCATCTTGAAGCTGTCCTTTTTCTTCTTAATTTTGTAACTTGTAGCAAAACTCAACGACTGAAGATTTATGTTGTTTGTGTTGGGCACTAATTACAGCTATTTCAGTTTTCCACTGATGTGATAACCCACATTAATAGATATTTTCTTTGCTCTTATGAACAGCAGTGGCAGTTTCTACAAACTGTTAATCCTACATTAATATTTCATTTAAATGAAAACATGTAACTTAAGGAACATATTTTAATAACACATTTAAACTTGCCTTTTTTCCTGGATAAATCCCCAATATAATTTTAATTAAAGCTTTTATTGATGATGCTGTAAATAGGTATGTGCTTTTTAATGTATATTTGTTTTTCCTTTTTGTTTTATGCTTAATGGGTTTATCATGACTCTTTTCAATACACTCCAATAAATAGTGAAGAAAGAGCCATAACAGTAGCTGAAAGACTATTTAGTATTTAATGCCTCAGTTAGGAAAACAGTATTGTAACACTACAATAATGATGTCTGGAACATTTAATAATAGGTTTATTTGTACATAGGCCAAATCTGTCCAAGCTGAATTCCTGTAGAACTTGCATTCAAACGGACATGTGAAAAGATGATCCAATCCATCAATTTATGTGTAATATTACCAAAAAGAAATGCATTATTGTTAGTGTCAGAGGGTTTCAAAGCGGTAATTTCCTGGTTCAAGAAAGTGACTGAGCCATACTGAAGAGCAATTAACAACAGGCATTATCAGCCTTCCAATTCCCTCACAAACTGTCTAAACCCAAAATGATCCTGACATCCAATAGGAGTGTTTACATGTTTGTAAATATTCAACTGAATTTGTAGACTAGAAAGAAATGTTTTCTTAGATACAAACTGTTGGAGGTTGCGGCAGTTGTAGGGAAATGTTTGGTGCGTCATTTCACTGTAGGACGATCCTTAGCCAGCAGTCAGTCTCTCTTGGTTAACGTAACACTACAAAGGCAGAGAGAATGTGATTGCTTCTCTATAAATGCATCACAGGATGAGTGCCTGGGAGGGAGAAGAATTATTTCAACCAGAGAGCAAAGCTGACACAGGAAACCACTGGTATGACCTGGCCATAAACTGAAGATAGAAATTAAAAGTTTCTAGATATCAAAAAGAGAGTATCCAGATAATCTTGGGGGAAAAAAGAGGAAGGAAAAAAAAAAAAGAGAGAGAAAGGAAGGCAAAATAAATCTAACTTGCATCCACATGGAAGTAGTTAATTTTTGAAAAATATTAGACAGTATGGTTGCCTTTCATGAAGGGAGGCTCACCCAGAGTGAGTCTTTCAGCCATTTGTCTATTTCCCTTTAGTCCGTGAAAAAATATTCTAAAGCTACATCTACACTATTAACTAAAACAGGGCCAAGGAGTGCTTGTGTGTACTTAATTGCTGGCATACTCCCTCACACTATTTTAGCCCACGTCGGTTTGCCCTTTCCCAAGCAACTCCTAAGCGGGGTTTGGAGGACAGCGAAAGCCGGAGGTCACTCCCAAAAGGCACGTTGGACACAGCCATCTTGCTTCAGAGGGAAGAGCCCTATGGGAGCGAGGTGTGTCACACTGTTAGTCTGGTCCCAGGAACAGTCCCTGACCACTGGCTGCAGGTCCAGACGCTGGTCCCTGGCCTGCTCTACTTAGTGATATAGACATAGCTGTAAAAAAGGAAGCTATTTTGCTTTGTTACACTGCATTGCTGCTCACATGCCCAGTAATGTTAGAGGTTAAAACCGCCATTGCACCGCACTCAAAAACATGAAGTAGAAGGATTTTTTAGATGTTTAGAAAAAATGTATATCCTTCAGTTCAAATCCCTTGCTCACCAGCATGATGGCAGTTCTTTAATAGGACGCAGAGACCAGTTCGATGGAAAATAGTTGTGGCCGCAACCAGGGCAGAATTAGATGGACAGCCCCCTGAATATGCTGCCCTCACCCAACTCTGGAAACCAGGCATCAACATTTGAGCCAGGCAGGCACTGTCAGTCAATCTGTTCTCAGCAGGGAACAGCACCCCACTCTGATCTGTCGCAGACACCTACTTTAGGGTGCAGTTAATGGACCTCTGGAGATTCTAATCTCATTGACTGTACGGGGAGCTATGGATCACTAACTCAGACGGAAACTTTAGATACCTAAGTCAGAGCAGATGAAACCCAACATAAGTGGAAAATGTTTTCACTGTAGAATTTGATCAGCTATAGTCACTAGAGATCAGCAGGAAATGAATATGCTGTTTTCTACAGTTGTGATTTTTTTTTCCTTACTTCCTCAAAAAAGCAAAACAAAAAGAGAAATGTTCTCTTAAACAAATTTTCACAATGATGTTTAAAAGGATATGTCAAAATCAGTATGCTTCCATTTACATTTTCCTTCTATGTAATTGCCGTTTTTTCTGATGGAAAACAATTTTCTGTTAGACAATTTGCCAGCAACTGTAACAGTCATTCACAAAGACGTTAATCGTGAAATGCTCTGTCACAATCATGGAGCCCTCAGCCTACCTGGTTGTCCTTTTAGTGGATTGAATCTGGCAAGTGCTGAGTACTTGTGTCTTGATTCTGCAAAACATGTGCTTATCCTTGAAGCATGTGAGCAGTTAGATTGACTTCAAAAAGAATTCACCAAGGACACTTATGGATCTGAAGTTAAACACTGTTGTAAGTGTTTTGCTGGTTCAGGAGGGGAATGGTAGGCATTCAGGAATGCCTCAAACCTGGCATTTTGTTTCTGCATAACTGCATGCCAAGGGCACCCTTTGGTCTCTTTAAAACAAAGCAATAAGTGAAACAAAACCTGTTGGAGAATATTTGGGAACTATAGGTGTACTTTACAAATATTGTGTAGAAAATGGACCATGGTTTGAAGGAGATAACAGGTAGAGTTAGAGCAGGAGAGTGAGTAGATCACAGAATAGAAATATGTGATTTTGCATGAATAAACTAGACTCCAAAAATATCTTTGCCCAAGGCACAAATATACCTCAGCCTGCCTCGGCTGAGGAAAGTCCATTGATGATTTTGAAGAAAAATAGCCCACTCAAAACGAGGACTAGCTTAAGTGATGAATTGCACGTATTCATCATGCAGCTCTCTTTGAAGCTCTATAGACTGTGTACTAGGGGCTCAAAAGTAATTTAAAAAAGTTTACATATGGCTTGAGAACCACAGGCTAAGCATTGCTGCTTCGGTCAATACCACAAGAGCTTCCACTAAATTACAGAGCAAAACAAAATGCTTTACTTCAGTCTTTAACATCAGTGCAAATGAAGGTTGCTATTAATCTAAGTGTGTTTCTCCTCTGTTGTGGTTGCTTTCTACACTCTTGTGAGAAGCTATTAAGACACAAGAGCATACACAATCTTAGTGTAGGTTAATAGTGGACTGTGAGGATGGGATTCATTTTTCAGTTCTTTTCTCTTTAGCATCCTAAATTGTGTGCAAATGTTTTGTCAATAGAAATCATACTGCTGTGAAAATACTGTCCACAGCACACCAGCATATTTTTAAAGACCAGCTTTAAAATTTAGTAAAATGGCTAGTTAACATGACATTTCTTTTAATATTTTAGAAGTCTGATATAACATATTTCCTTGCCTGTGTTTTGTTGGGGTTTTTTTAACTGAATTCCAAAAGCTAAGATTTCAAATGGATGGGCAAATGTGTATTTCAAAAAGTCTCAAAATTTCCTGATACGGATAATCTTTGTCCAGAAGGGCAAACACTAGAAAAGAAAAGATTTAATAAGGATAAGGTTTCTATTTAGTCTTAAATCACCAGCCATATTCTGTGTGTTCCGCAATCAGATCTGTAAACCTTCAAACATACATACTAAGAATAATCAAGGATTTAGTCAAGTTCTAAAATTAGATTCTGCATTTTGGGAAAAGCTGGCAAAACAGGTTTCTTAGTTGCCCCTCCATCTTTTAAGCTGAAAGTTACCCAGTTTTCCACTATATCATACTATGCCGGCGGAAAGAGGAGCCAAGGTCCCAGAAATAGCTACAGCATGGGCAGTCAAACGAAATAGCTGGCTCACTGAAATGTCTTTGTTCTGTGGGTAATGTAGAAGTGTCCTTCACTGAGGACATTTCCAAGTGACTTATATTTGGAGTCGGCCTTCCTGGAGGATGCTGACAAAGCAACATGATGGTCTACAGGTAGAGGTTGCAAAGAGCTTTCTGGACCTAATGACTTTTCAGCACCTGCTGCCCTAAAATTCCCATTTGGAACTGTATATGGTCTATTATGAAAGCCCATCTCGGTTCGTAAGGAAGGGTCAGGAAGATGGTAAAAAAAAAAAAGCAGTAGCATCGTCTACCTAAGCAGACAGCAGTATCATCCCCTGAATGATTGCTCAGATGGTGTTCCCCACACAGCATTTATTTGATGTGGTGACACCTGAAACATTTGATAACTTATTGTTGTTCAACAGTTTTCAAGACTTGAATGGAAAAAAGGAGAACTTTATGCTAGCTATTTATGCAAGAAGAACAAGAATCTCTATTTCATCCAACTCTGCTTAGATCAATACCATATTAGCTCAGTAGGCGAAGGTTTACATGTTGTGCAAAAGAATTCAATACCTCTTTGTGTCATATTCTGCAAGTTTTTGGCTCTTGCATCTACATAGCTAGCAAAGGGAACAGTACTGTGACAGCAGGGCCAATCTGTAGAAGACTGAAATGCAGAATCACTAAATATGTCTTAAAAATTATAAACCAGTGAGTCATGGGGAATCTTAAAGCCTGTCTGCTTTAAACAAAGTTCTCTTCTGTTTGTCATTTCAAAGAGGCTTCCCTACAGGAAATGGGAGGAGGGAGGCTCAGAGTGCCATAACATGGTGGCCTTATCCTCCTTATTTTCTTGCAGTTCAGAGCAGCATCAAGACCTATAATGTTGAAAGCCATCATGGGAAAGAGCAGGATCAGAGCTGTTTGCACATAGAAAATGCAAAAGCAAAAAAACCCCAAATACCACCACCAAATCTGCAGCATTTGGAGTGGAGGCATTATTTTGTAGTTTTAAAAAGCCACTAATGGTAACAGGCTAAAACAACTTTCTCACTCCAAATAATAAAACTGTAAAGCTCTAATGTTTTCTAGTATGAGGAAGAATTCAACTCATATCCTCTGTAGGGTGTTTCATTCTATCAATAATGTATTGAACAATCCTGGTGGAAAGGGGCTGAACTGGCAGGTATTTTAAATGCCATGGGATTGCCAAGGCAACTGAAGACTAACTATGGCCAGAATATGGATAGAAAAGCACATGCTGGCAGCAAGAGCTATAACATCTGAGCCCCATCTTTCTGGCAACTCTAGGGCCTTACAGAAATGTGTAGCTTACATAATAAAGTTATTCCAAGCTGGAACTGTTTTACTTGCTGGAAAATGCCAATAAATGACTACAAAATTATGTTAGCTAAGGATTTTCTTTGAACTGTGAATAATTAGGATATATAAACATATTCTATTTTAAACTGAAAGTGAAATGGACTTCCTAAAGAAATGACAAGGTGTTAATTTAATCCTGGAAAGCCAGTGGTGTAAGCATTAGAATGACATCTTATGATTATTTTCATGATTGACTCCATGGATGGTTTTCAGCATTATCTTTTCATATTGTTTGTAAGCACAGACATACCACTATTCAACAACCTAGGGACCTATCTGTAGGGAATGCTCAAGTGCTAGAAGGCCACATATGTTGGTTGCAAATTGAGTAGCTTAATTAAGGAAAAAGATTATCTCACTGCGCAGGAAATCCAGAAAAAAAATCAGGAATTGGTTTATACATTATTAACACTGAGAGAGATCATGTATGTGTGTATGTGTGTGTGTTCTGTGACTGGAGATATACTTAAGAAATCCTTGCTCTTTTGAAAGGATTAAGATATTCCTCTTGAATTCTTTTACAGTATTCTTTAATATCGAGCATATGGGCAAAAGATCTGTGAGGGTGTGCTGAAAGGCTAAATAGGAGGGCATAAAGAGTCATTGGTCATAGTCTCAACATGAGTGCAAAAATGTTTTTCTAAGTTCACTATATAATTAACAGATTATTTGCAGTATTGAGCTTAAAACCTGGAAGGTGCTGTTTGAACTTCTATTCCCAGAGCATCTTGTAGACTGCGTCGGCAAATCAGGCCATTCAGATGTCTTGTCATAAAATAGGTGCTTCAATCACACTTTGGAAAATACTTCTGGTGTTTTGTACATATAATTTTGTGCATTGTTGCCCTCTCTGCACACTTGAAAGGACACTTTTTAAAATCCTGGTTCTTTACATTTTCAGAGGTTTATGGAGTGCTATCTGGAACATTTTAGAAGTAGGATTACTGGCTTAGGATAAGCAATTTATTGTTCACCACTAAGTTATTGATGAGATTGTGATTTTGAACTGTTGTAGAGGTTCACTATTTGCTGCTGAGGGACTCTCTTCAGAAGGCTATTTTAGTGGCATCTATTGTTGTAGTAGAACTGGTAGTTTACTATTATATCCTGTCTCTTTGCAGTTGGCCCGCACATAGGGCGTTATTGTGGGCAGAACAACCCAGGACGTGTCCGGTCTTCAACAGGGATCCTTTCAATGGTATTTTACACTGACAGTGCAATAGCAAAAGAGGGATTCTCAGCAAACTACAGTGTGTCGCAGAGCAGTGTATCAGAAGGTCAGTATTTATCTATACTGCAGAGCTTCTTGGAAAATATCCTCTGTTATGTCTTCTTGCACACCAGGTGTTGCATAAAACTTTAAAGAAACCTTAAATAAATAAGATGGTGGGGAAGGATTGGTTCTGTCTTGCTTTTTTCTTTTTTTTTTTTTTTAAAGAACAGCTGCCCTTTGAAAAGCAGTGCAAGAAACAGAATTCTCCTTACAGTTTTATTCCACATTATTGCCAGGAAGTTCGGGTAATTATTGTGCAAAACTGTGCTGACCAAGGAAACGCAGGAATACAGAGCAATTGAACACTTGCATTAAAACAATGAAACATGAACAATGAATGCACTATCCCAAGCCTTCTTTTATTACATGGAATAAGCTTTGATGATCGATTTGTTGAATAAAAAGAACCCATTTAATACATGTGCTCTTGTTAAACCATTTCATAAGCTATCTAAGCTTTGTTCTCCATCTCGTATTTTTTTCCCAGTTGCCTCATTTTCATGCTTACCCTTTGGATGGAGAATGAAATGAAGTGAGGGAGATGCAGGAAAATAACAGGCTGTGTTACACTATGTCCTTGCAGATTTCCTTGCTTTCCTCAATGATAAAACACACACTTTAAATCATACTCTCTCTCCTTTCCACAACTTATTGAGTTTTGAGCAGATTTATCCAGATTTGATGTGCTTGTTTAAAAGGAACAAAAAAAAAATGAGTAAACTGAAATTATGTCCATTACTCCCCACCTCTCTTCCTACCCTTGCCTCTTTAATAGCTTTCTTGTACATGCATAACCAGTAAGAGGGAATGGCACGTACCCAGCCTCTGTGGATGGGAAGCACTCTCCTCTGTCTCTGTCAGACTGTATCTCCAGCTAGTTTGGCTTCTCCTTATGTAGGTGCTGTTCCTACCCTGTCATTAGCTAGCACAGGCAACTTGGGTCCCCATGTTCATCTCCTCCACAGTTATCTCTACCTGGGCTGTAGAGGCATCATCACACTGGAGCCAGAATTAATAATATCTGCTATGCTGGGATGTCTTCAGCTCTTTTAAACACAGGACAACAGAACAGGAAAAGTTAGTGTGTGTGAAAACCCTTTTGGATGATAAGAGGAAACATTTTCTATGATTCAGGCCTAGACAGAGGAGTGATTCTTCTCATTTAATTTCAGCCACCCTTGCTCTTTGTGTTTTCAGTACAGAGAGGGTCACCTCCAGAAGACAACTCAGCCTCCATATCTCAGCCATGTAAGATGCCCCCAGGAGGTACTTGTCCCTCTCAGCAGACCACAGGGAAAGCCCGCATGTCTAGATCAAACTGGACACCTACTTTTTAGATATTTTAATATGATTCCCACCTACTATGTCTTGCATTCTTTGTAGTGGCTTAGGGCTCTCCTTCTGATTCCAAGCAGAAGTTAATTTACTTTGAGTCTTACCCTAATGTAGTTCAGCTTCAGTACTTCACCCAAGGCCCCTAATAAGTTGAAGCAACACAGAAACGGGGGAAAGGGTGGTACACCGCAGGAAATGCAGTTTGGCAGCAAGTTTGATAATTCAGTTATGGGCACCCTAACTACAACTCCTGTGAGGTACTGTGAGAGCATTTCTGAATAGAAGTTTCTGGATCCCAGATAAAAGATTTAAACTTTTTTTTTTCAGAATATTTTAATTTTCATTGAAAAATCAGAACTTTGCTTATTAAAAGCTCAGGACCCACCCCTCTGTTAGAGATACGTCAGCTCCAGAGAAGGTATGATAAAAAGGAGTGTGTACTCATATGTCAGGGCCTCCACTTCACACACTGGTATTTTAATTTAAACTGCTAATGAAGGAATGAATTATATGTATATACTATGAAGTCTTTGCACAGAACCATAAGCACATGTTGTTTTCTCCTGCCCTTGCAATGGGGTTGGTAAACTTCTGACAAGGGGATGCATGAGCATCTGGGTGTGAGGATCCGTCTAAAGCCACCGGCCTTTCTTGCTTTGGTGGGGGTTGGAGCCTTTATTTTTGAAGAGTGAAGGAAGAATTTAGTCTCCATGCCCTATCATGCTTTGAACTCAATACAGTGACTAGGACGTCAATTGATTCTAAATTACCTAGGTAATTTTTGTGTCAACAAAAAGAGATTGAATGAAAATGATCAACTCATTTAAAATACAGCATGTTATGGAAGAGGTGGTAATTCCCTTAGGTCAATAATCTTCTGGCCTGGATTCAAATTTTGTTGATCTGTTTCTTTCCAGTGTCCAGGATGCAAAGAGGATGCCTGGAATTTTAATAATATTTTTAAAACATTTTATAGTTTTTGTACTGGAGTAAATAGTTTTAAAATAAAATTATTTTATACAGTCATCTGGTTTGTCTTTCCTGGCTTTGTGCATAATTATGAGTTGAACATACGTTGTTTTATATTATGAATCCACAGAAGTGCCTGTGCTACCCTAGAAAAGAGAATTCTATTGTCCTATATTAAAATGGCTACAACGCTGGGCTAAAAATATTTGTATAGCATTATTATTGCAGGAATTGCCATGGCAACTCAAATGACAGTATTAAGAATGACACCATAAGCCCAGTACTGCCTCACTTAAAGTTGCTAAAGAATTCAAAGTCACATAAAAATAAATTCTTTAGATATTCATATTCAAAGCAGGAAAACGTTCTTATTATTCAAAGTCTAAATCAAAAAGCTGACCATAATAATGATGGTAATTTATTTTTCTTCAGATTTCCAGTGCATGGAACCACTGGGCATGGAGTCAGGAGAAATTCACTCTGATCAAATAACTGTCTCCTCCCAGTACAGCGCTATCTGGTCTTCAGAAAGGTCCCGGCTAAATTACCCTGAGAATGGATGGACCCCAGGGGAAGATTCTATCAGAGAATGGATACAGGTAAAAAGATAATGTTTTAGAGATATTATTAATAATACTCTGTGGAGTTTATTGAATGTGGAGAATGCAAAAGAAAGAAAAAAAAAACCCACAGTAAAGTACTTCTACATAATCTATGAATCACTGCAAGTGAATAGCTCACATTCCCTATTAGGCACACAAAAAAAGACTGACTCCCAAAGGTATAAAAAAAGAAAAGGTCAGGAAGATTAATTCTTCTGCTTCCCACGTCTATTGTTTTTTCAGTCTTCTGGGCACAAATAACAGAGATTTTGGTTTAGTGGAAAAGTCAATATTAGTTTAACATGCACTTAAAGTGGAATGTCCCAGTAAACTGAGCATGTGCTATGTCTCTAGCTGATTACAGTTAAGCATTAATACAGGATGGTGTTTTCATGCACTCAGATTTCACCTCAGAAGACCTATGTCCATTCTAGAATAAGTCACACATGAACTAAGTTCAGTGGTCTCTGTCTAGTGGCTATTCTTCCACATCCTTAAACACAACATTCATTAGCAAGATTGGCTGCCTCAGCTTTGCTCTGTTAATACAGGAGAAATCGTGCAAACATTTGTTGCCACAAAGAGACTCCTTGAGGTCAGTCAGTCTACTTGGGCTTGTTGCTTGCTATTTCTTATCAGGTCCATAGCTTAATGGTGCATGTTTCCTGAGCAGGTTATAATTATTCATATGAATTCCTGTATACAAATAACCTATACTAGCAGGCAAGTATTAATATCATTAGGTGAAAAAACCACTGATTTATCTTAATTGTCGGTTGACTTACACTTCTTAGTTGTAACCTGGATTCTATTTCTGTTGGCAAAAGCTAAGAGAAAGGCTTGCGCATATTAGATCAATATTACTTCGACATATTAGATCAATATTACTAATATTGAAAACTTGTTCTTATATTTGAAAGATTCCTCCTGCTTCTGTTGTTTTCTATAAGAAATTACTAACTGACATATAAAAACAATGCCTTATTAGCCGTCCATACGAATGTTCACATTGGTGTTTCCTGTGAGGTTTGCTGTCTGCAAGAAAGCTTAAAAATATGTTGAGTAGCAGTTAGTGAAGGGAAGAAAGAGGGGGAAATCTTTCATTTCTGATCCTTGGCACACAATGGGACTCTTAGGTGTCCTGCTTAGGGGCCCCTACACATCCTGAGCTCTTGGAAACTTGGTAATCATGTATGATGGACCTAACCAGACTTCAGAGCGGCAAAAAAAATCTGTTGATCCTTTTTCCTTACTTAGGAATAAATGCTAAAATCTCCCCAGCCTTATCTAAGTGCAAGGCTTGTTATTAATCATTGCCACTTGCAATCCATGGAATGCACGTGGAAAAGGGGTGGAATGCATCAGAATCAAATTCCATGTGTTTCATCTGGTCAGAGGGCTGCCACTTTTTCTTTATTTCCTTCTTTTCTGCTGTCACTTACGCATTTATGACTGCATAATCAAAACAAGAGAGCTAGTCAAATCTCATTCATGTGTTGTGTGTGCTTATTAACTTTATTAAGTTATGATGACTACGTACATATATAGAGAGAGCTTAATCCTTTCACTTAGAACTAGATCTTTCTGAGAAAAAGTTTCAAAGGACTTTTTTTAACCATTAACTTTCTTAATAATAAACACATAACAGAATCCAAGCTACTCCGGGGTTTATGCTTAAAACAGCTCAGACTACTTCAGGCCTCCTGCCCGTGAATTTCTCAGACTCCTTTGCCTTCTTTCATAAACCACTGAGCATAATTTTTAGCATCTTTACACTGCCTCCAGCTACCACATCAGCCAAGAAGTTGGTGGTTATTTGGATGCTGTACTGCTCACGCTCATGCCACAGCTCTCACCTACTTCACCCAGCCCCCAGTTTGGAACCATTTCCCTGAGCAGTCTTGGCCTGGTGTATCTCCTCCACCGCCCAGGGCCCCTGCGGAGGCACTGGCACCCCCAAGGCAGACTTCATGACAGAGCAACTAGGCTGTAGCAGCCTTCGCTGCAGAGCTGGGGCTTGTTTGCAAGACTGAGCCTACAAAGTCTTGCTTGAAGATTCATTGCATTCAATAGGTGCGCTTAACATGTGTCGCAGAGGAGCTGTCAATCATTTCTACCATTCAACCTACGTAGCAGAAGCAACCAAGCTAGGCTGGAGATGGAGTATGCCATCCCCTGGCTTTTCACAAGGTACAACGGTTCAACTCATCTTTGGTTCCATTTGTATCAGGAGGATATTAATTCTTATACTTATTATTATGGTTTAATTCAATACTAACATTGTTAATTCAGACTTCCAAATGTGTTCTAAATGCTTTCCTGTTAAACTGAGTTGACAATCTTGAGATGGGTGCTAAGCACTTCAGACCATCAGGCACTTTAATAGCAGAGTCCTTGCACATGTGAACTGCCATCTTCTACAAAGGCTCGATGCCACTGGCAGTAAGCACATGTTGCAAGTTTGTATCTGGATAAAATATTGAAATCCCATGTTTCCTCTGTACAAATATCCCCAGGAACAGATGTTCATCTCCGTAAGAGTTTACAGACAAACAACCAAGGACATGCAACTAATAAAATACTCTGAAATTACCCGCTGAAAAAAAATCATAATATTTTATAAAAGGAGGAAGACATTGTATATGAAGGACTGAGGTCACTTTGTTCTGTTTTGTTTTGTATGCTATTGTAAACTAGTCATGTGAAGTATTTGCTTTTGAGCAGTACAGTGTAAATGGATTTTTGTTGTACAGAGCAAGAACTCTAGAAAATATTCAACAGCAAAAAACAGTCTGAAGGATACAGCAATGCTGAACTTGGAACTTTCAAAGTGAAAATTTCTGCCTATGTGCCCTTGTCTGAGACAAAGATTTTGTGTATATCAGTATTCATTAATCTTTCACAATTGCAGGTTTCCATACCTGCACACACACTGCAGCTGGTTAAGTAGTGATGTCTGCCTTCAAACTGCTAATATACATATGCAACTACATCATATATATGAGATATGTACAAACCATACATGGGCAAAGCAGCTTGAAAATTCAGCTCCAAATACTAATTTCCTTAGTGTATCATTTTTTTTATATAGGGGAAATATTATAGTTCTCCTTTCCTTTCCTTTTACCCCTCCTTTCAAGGTTAATGTTTTTGCTAAAACAAAAGAAACAGAAAACCTCAGTTAAGTATCAGCAAAGGGAGATTGGTATCTATAGAGGACGTCTAGAGGGCATGCGATATGATTGTCTCCATTGAGGTGTTGACGTCTTTCGGACCGTTTCGCTGAAAAGAATTAAGAAAATAGTGTTGGCCTGTTGTTAGTAATGGATTTGCATGAATTCCGTCTGTGGATGTGGAACCCATTCTTTGGTGAAAAAACTAGATTGCTCCTTTGTGGCTGACAAGGTACTAACTCCTGAGTTCATCTGAATGCCACCTGCTTGCCGGGCTCTGCTAAGTGAAAGTTGCCTGTCCGTTCCTTTCCTTAATTGTTTGGAAATAAATGTCAAAGCTTAGATTCAAAATACCCATAGCACAGTCACACCCTAAGTCTGCACCATACTATCTCCATTTTATTTTTACCCTCAAACACACTTTTGAAAATTGCTCAACTAGCTTGAGATTTTGGAGTGACTCTATAATCAGAAACAGAGTCACTCCAGATTGAATTTCTTTTTTAAAAACGCATTAATAAAGTCTGTGGATTTTCTAATACGAATGGAATAAAGATATGCATGAGGCAAGACCTGCCAAAAATAAGCATGAAGTTAGTTTATTGTCATATGGGATGTTATTAGCTCCTCAACCTTAAGCTCAGCCTACTTGTTTATTACACTTACATTTCACGCACTCGATTGCCCTTCAGTGTGAAATAGCATAATTTAAAATAAAAAATAAAAACAGGCCTTTAATCTAATCAAGAGCAGGGAACTGCCACTGCAACGTAAGTCATCGTCCCTCATTAACGTATCCTTTCACAGGAAAAATAGTATAGTGTTTCCATTTCTGTAATCTGAACAACAAACATGTTAATAGGTATCAATTACCAGCCAGTTTCAGTACTTAGAACCAGTAAGAAGGCCAGTGCGAGGGTTTCACATCTGGTTTCAGTGAAACTGTTCCTGTCTGTGGTATTTAAAATTTAAAGAACTCCTGTTATTGTGCAATTGGGAATCCTAGGGGAGTACAATGTTAATGAAATCCATAACATGCAGGGATTTTATGATTGCATTTTCAAGGCATTCCTTCAAAAGGGACAACTGATTTCTGCCATGGCAGCAGTAATTGTGTTTTTACAGAGTAGATTTAACGTTTGCATTTAAGAATGGCAGTTAGGTTTACACTCATCTGAAAAAGTAACATGCGAAATCTTTATATTTAGGGAACATTTTGCATCTTATTTGCGAAACCTTTGAGCAGAAGCCACGGGCCGCTGTGCATAGCAAGCCCTTGCACCTCAGGGGCGACCCAGTGGGTCACGGCCGGCAGCCCCCCAGGGCAGCGCAGGAGCGAGGGAAGCTCCAGGAGGAGCGCCCGGCCGGATAGGTGCCGTCAGCTAAAGGCACTTGAGACCCACGTGTGTGTGGTTTTGAAGGGAGACTGATTGCCTATTACCAGGGTCACTGGGAACCTGTGCTATCATCAATCCTTATAATGGCGTGAGTTTTCAAACCCGCAAGGAGCAACACCTTCTGGGTACTTTTACTGCAGAATCTGTATGTTTTCTATCAAAACGTTTCTTCTAATGCATATAACACAAATCTGTACAGTCCTGCCAAGCTGGATGATTGTTTCTGGGTGGCACAATTTTTCTCTCATCCTGTAACTCCGAGCTAGACCTCCAGCTTGCCCAGAAAGCAAAGCATGTTTGTTAGTAGCACAAGATCTTCAGTTCATATTATGGCTGGGGTTGGACAAAACTATAAATCCAGCTTTAAGAATCCTAGTATCAGATCAAAACTTTGCAGCCATAAACCAAAAAGCACTACTCTGATATA